AGGGCCCCAAAACAATCCCAAAACAGCCCAAGAGAGCCTCAAAGCTGCCCAAGAAGACGGCCCAAGAGGCTCCCAGGCGGCTCCAAGAGAGGGCCCAGACGGGGGACCCGAGCGGCCATTTCAAGCTCTTTGCCCAAAGGGACCCCCAGAAGGCCCCAAGAGGCTCCCAAGAGGCCCCCAAGAGGCCCCAAGAGGCTCCCAAGAGGCCCCCATGAGGCCTCAGGAGGTCCCAAAAATACCGCCAAGAGGCCCCCGAGTGGCCTCCCAAGAGATCGCAAGAAGGCTGCAAAAGAGGCGTCTTGTCCACTATCAAGATTGGCCCAAAAATATCCACAAGAGCCATCGAGAGGCAAGAGGCGACGACCAAGATTGGCTCCCAAATATCCGCAAGAAGCCATCGAGAAGCTGCCGCCATCTCCTCATCCTTCCCTCTTCATCCTCCCTCTCCTCCTCCTCCTCCTCCTCCTCCTCCTCCTCCTCCTCCTCCTCCTCTTCTTATTATGCGTCTTCTTCTTTTTCTTCTCATTATTATTAGTATTAGTATTCGTATTCTTCTTATTGCTATCAATATTCTTCTTAGTATTATTATGACTATTCTTATTCGTATGAATAATATTATTCTTCTTATTATTATTTTTATTATTAGTATTATTATTATGTTTCTTATTCTTAATACGATTCTTATTCTTCTTATTCTTAGTACCATCATCCTAGTATTATTATTCTTAGCATTCGCATTATTATTCGTATTATTATTATTAGTATTATCATTCTTATTTTTATTAATATTATCATTCTAAGTATTATTATTATTACTCGTATTATTATTATCATTATTATTATTGTTATTATTATCGTTATTAATATTAGTATTATTCAAATTCAATTTATTATTCGTCTTCTTCTTATTCTTAGTATTCTTATTATTATTCTTCCTCCTCCTCCTCCTCCTCCTTCTCGCTCGCCACTGACACAGCAACATATCGCACCAGAGATACCATGAAATAACCTGGGCCGGCGGAATGAGCGAAGCGACTCAATAAGGCATCGGGGTCGAGTCCAGCCTGTCGGAAGCGATCCACCACTTCTCGAAATCGTTGGAGGCGATCAGCACCGGGTACGCCGTGTGCTCGAAGTTGGGCGCGGTCAATGACATTTCCACGTTGAAGTTCATCTCGGTGGAGATCATGCCATTCCACCCTCTTGAGCAAGAGTGGTTGCAGCCACTCCACGTCTGCGGAATATCTGACATGGCGATGGAGAAGCCCTGGTGGGCCCCGGGATCCTGCACCCACAACTGGTTCAAGAGGGGAGGGAACCTCTCGTACTGCCAGTGCCAGTTCTCGAGGGGCATGGGGGATGTCATCATGAACTTCAGGAACAGCGCGAAGAAAAATACGAAGTTGAAGAAAACTAGCACGTAGCACCAGTAGCAACACCCGCCCTTGCCCTTGCCGCAGTGCTGCCTCATGAAGTTGCACCAGGGCTCCTTCTCGATCTCGTAGTCCTCGTCATCGGAGTCATCCTCCTGTGAAGGCAACGTTTGGGGGAGCCAGCTCAGAGACAAACATCGACCTGAAATTGGCGATAGACCGCCGATAGCTCGGCGATGGGCCCCGATTGCGGATGCACCCCTATCGCGCCCCTATCGGATAGGCTCCTGGGCGCCCCTATTGCGGCTCCTGGGCTCCTGGGCTCCTGGGCCGGGGCGGATGCACCCCTATCGCGCCCCTATTGCGGCCCCTGGGCGGGACAGGCTCTCGCGCCCCTATCGGCGATGCATGGGCGACTGCGGGTCGATGCCTCCCCCCCGAGCTCCCTGGCGGCCACTCGGGACGATCCGGGCACCCGCGAGGCGCCCTCGGGGAGGCGAGGCCGCTGCAGGGCAGACCGAGGCTGGAAGACCGGCGAGGGCCGACGAGGAGGCCCGAGGACCTCGGACTTCTGCCCCGGAACCTCGGAGCTCGAACCCTAGATCTTCTACACCAGAACTTCTACCCCAGAACTTCTACCCCAGAGCCTATCCCTCCCTCCCTGAGCCTATCCCCACCTGAGCACATCCCCCCTGGGCGTTGCCCCTGATCCTGTGAGCGCATGCTCCGCGAGTCCCGCGTGCGCCGGTGGAAGATGGACGGCAGCCGCAGCCCACTCCCGAGGGAGCTGCCCCTGTTCGTGGCCTCCTCCGGGGGCGGCACTTCGTCCTGCACGACCTTCGGTAAGGGCTTGACGACCTCGATGGTCCCTCGACTCGCGCTGGAGGGTCCACAATTTGGTCCAGGTGTCCCCGAAGATCTCTGGATCTATCTGGACTTATCTCGCTGTACCTGGATCTACCTCGATCTGTTTCGGATTTGCCCCGATCTATCCGAATGGCCTTCGGCCCATCCCGCCACCATGACCGCGCTTGTGGATAATGAGGCTCTTGGATGCCAGTTGGGGTCTCCTGGGAAGCCTCTTGGTGGGTTCTGGAGGCAAGTTTGAAACCTCATGGGGACCGTTG